AACTTCTGCGCGAACCTGCGGCGTTAAACAGCTCTTTTAATGGTAAAACAAACCGTAATTTAGACAGTGTGTACATTGGAAAAAAAACATCACCACATCTCAATCGCGTGTCTGATTGTCCTCGGATGCCTCTAATATGACGGCAGTACCATTCATCTGGTACATACACTCGAAATCCCTGAGATGAGGTAGGCGTGGCTGCGTACTTCAACTAAACGTCGTGGTGGCTATGCTTTTGGAGATATTTTCATTTTGACCCAAATGTGGTCACGTCTCTGTCCAACAAAGAACAAGATGGCGGTTGTCTCAAATTGAAATATCCCAAGTAACCAGTTCTGTGCCATGTTCGAATGCCACACCTACCCCTACTCAGGGATAAGGAGTATACTTCCGTCCTACAACCTGACCACTCACTGCAGTCATGTGGCGTGTTGCAAAGTTGCACACGTGAGAGCAGTGTTTCAACTTCGCAGGTCTGCTAAGTGTGATTAATATTCATCTCAACGTCCAGTATCGTAGTTACTATTTTTGCGACACTTAGCAGCTGTCAAAAGTTCTCTCCATACATCTGAGACGCGGTAGGCGTGGCTGCGTACTTCACTGAAGTCGCACTCTCAGTCATAGCAAACGCGCTACTTGTTTGTACCCTCTCACGTCTGGTTGCACTCTAGCTCCGGCAGATTTTGCTGAGGAATTTTGGCACTGAGGCAGATGCTGCACCTTGAAGATAGGGCGGGCGGAGTTTAGAGGCAGCACCTGAGTATCGCTGCCCTCCAGTCTCGTTCCCATCCACTTTTGGTTGGGAAAAACTAGCACTGCAGTTGCAGAAGCATTCATCTCGCATTTGGCGTGAATTGTCCTCATTGGTGAGCGCACAAAATGTCTTCGAACATGAGGTGCCAGGGAATATCTGCAAAATATTCCAATTTAGACAACTCTCATCTCGCCATGTCTTCTGCAAACTCTTTATTAGGAGCGTCCCGTAATGAAAATGCCCCATCGAAAGGGCGTCTCCCACACTAAAAGGAAGTAGGAAAACAGGAAGTAGAGACGGATATCTTGCAAAGAAGGAAGTTCACAGCCGTTGAACTTAGCATTATCACGTACGCCAACGTTCTTCTCACAAAACGAGCGGTATTCCAATGATGAAGAGGGCTATCGATGCGGTTTGCTGTTCAGTGAAGGCAGAGCGAACTTTCCTTTCAATGTCTGGTTTTTTCGGGCTGTTTAGCGTTTGGTTTTGATCAGACCCTGTTGGGGCCAGCTGATGTACATTTCAGAGTGTTTATCCTCCCAGACGAATCTAACACCAGTTTAGCGTTTCTGGAGGTTAAAAATCTTGGGTGGCCTCAACGAAAGGCGATACGCAATTCGTCCCCGGATCGGGCGCGTGGTATGCGTTCCACTTGCCTCTACCCAGCCTTCCCAGAAAATTATCAGCTTGCAGAACTGATGACTTATATTTTGACCGCATCAAATAGAACAACAAAAGTGACATGAACTTAGCTTACAGTACTAGTTATTCTTCGGACTTCACTTTACTATCGTTTCCGCTTTCATTTCATTGAGATGTTTCACCTTTTCCATCGCTAACTGTCATACACGTTGGTTTCACATGCACATTGTTCGTTGCCGTGTGGGACGGCGGCAGAAACTCCGCGACCCCTTCTTACTTCCTCATTCTTCAAAAGCACACGCTACTGAGTAGGATGACGAGGATAGTTCTCTCTCCGCCCATGCTGTCATCGTGGAGTATATCGCTACTGCTGCTTAAGTAGTTGAAGTAGATTTCCTTTATCTGTCGTTCTTATTCTGGTAAACTTTTCCGAGTCGTCGAACGACTTCATAAGCCTTCATACCATATGCCTGCTTTCAGAAATGCAATCGGATAGTAGTGGCGATCCGCGAATACACATATTTCTCCAATATGGTAACAATAAGGAGATGGTGATTCTGGAGAGGAACGACGAGCCTCAGGTGAATTCACAAGGCGTCCCTGTGCACGGCACATCTCCTGATGGAGGCGCTGAAATTCAGGTGTTCGAGTCATTACGTCGACGAGCTCGAGCTCTAGTCGAACGGACAAGCCCTGGTGAGAGTGAGCTGCATCTGTTTCGGCATGACTACGATTCACCAAGTGTTCTACAACACATCGCTTCTGTTTCGCAGTTGGTACGTGATAGTTTTTTTTCTCTTCAGCTTTTAGTAAAAGCTCTAACTCCGAATTTTAGTGGGAAGCTCTAACTCTGAATCGTAGCTCTCGCCGCGTTTCGCTGTAAAAACCCCCACTGTCCGCAATACTTTGCAACCGAGCGCGCGGTTGCGAAGCGGTTTCCGCCCCCCACATGCTAACATTTGATGTGCAGTTGATACAACAACTCCGAAAAATTACCCCTGCTCGCTTGGGTGTCTTCCAGTGAAACTTCATCAGCAAAAGTTTGTGCTTTTGAAGTGTTCCCCTAGCGGAATAGTCACAGATGAAATCTCGAACTGATGTTTTCAGTGAAGAAAATCAATGAGGGCACTTTTCTGCACGGTCACCCTTTCACTGCTATTTTTGTGCCGTTTGCAATCTATTCATGTTCCAGAACAACGGCTGTATTGTGGAGGTGATTGTGGTGGATCGCAATGAGAAACCTACCCGTCCACATGTTTTAGAGGTCACACTCAATTCAGTTTTTTGTTCACACAAATGCCTGACATATCGGCATCCGTTTGCGATTTTGATGATTTCAGGTGAAAAACTACATGACATTGACATTCTGTGATTTTTGCGGAGCAATGCTAACTGGTCTGATGCGTCAAGGACTACATTGCTTGGCGTGCAAGTGCGGTATCGTCCCTTTGTTGTTTAGAGTTTTCGTTTTTTTGACTACAAATGTGGCGGGAGCTTTTAACCCTGAAGGAGCCTTTGAAGGACTCCCAGCGCAGAAGTGGTATTGGCTCCATCCGAATTCGAAGGATGTATCTTCATGGCGCTGCAGATAGCGCGATCTCTCGGAAAGCGTGGGGTACGGGTTAGAGTCCGATGTTGATGTGCTGATGCAGGACTTTTGTCCAGAGCTCACCGTTCTTGAGGACTAACTTCATTCAACTAGTGCATGGGTATGAATTTGAAAAAATGGGTACATATTCAGCAAAGGTGATCTGATAGGCGAGCAGAAAAATCAGCGACTTTGGTTTATGGACGAATTGGACTCAATCTCGCTGATCGCGTCAGGTCTCCGTTTTTCTCTGCATGACATTTTATAACCACACCTCAAACATTCCAACTTTCCATGCATCATAAGTGGCTCATTCGTTCCGCAGCCCCTCACCTTATAAAAGGTCATCCCCTAACTCGCACTTTTCGAAGCCTTGGCCGCTGCTCTCTGGCCTTTCACGCCCGCCAAAAGTTCTAGTTGTCACATAGCCCTCTCCACACCGATTGAATGCCAACCATGAGAACGCAGCATTTGATGGAAAAGACTGCCCTGACTGCGCTGTAACCACAAATTATGAACCGTAGTTATTGCACTATATGAGGCTGTTTCAACTCAAATGCTATAATCTGTTAGTCAAAGGCACAACCCACGACTAGTTGAGAGGAACAATTTCATTCAAGGTTGGCAGGTACGCAACAGCAGAGACTGTAGCTTTATGAATATATGAGTGGCGCTTAAGTGACAAGCAAAACTTTTCGTGACGGTCCTAGCGCGAAAGGCGTCGAGAAAGAGAGTATTGCGGCTGTCAACAAAGGTTAAAAAACGTACTGCGAGCCAAGCCGTAAGCTTTTCCACGGGAATGAACCCTGGGTGGATGAGCCACTTATCATGTGTGAAAATTTGGAATGTGTAAAATCAGTGGTCAGAGAAAATCACGCAGACTTGAGAGCTCTGAGAAAAGGAGAAAGTTGACGCGATTAAGCGAATTGAGATTGAGCTGTCCGTAGACCGCGCGAGTGGTCTACGGACAACTCAGTCTCAATCCTCACACGCTCGTGTACTTTTTCGCCCTTTGTCGTCTGGTATCTCGTCGAAGCGCTCAGAGATTTTCTGCTGCCTGCTCATACATTGCCCACCATCAACTGCAAAAGAGCGAGTTATTATTGGGGCTTAAGCGACAATTTCTTCACTTTTTCTCCACCTGGTAGAAGTTTAACCCTTACAAATACTTATTTGAACCACACTACCCACGTATTGCCTCCAAAGCAGGCACCCATTTACCCTCCATTCACTTCTTGAATGCAAATTCCTTTCCACATATAAGTTCGTGTTTCGAAGATTAACCCCTAAATGTCGTTCCACGTTTTCTGATTGCAATAATTCAGATGCAATTTTCACCGTCGTTGCACCGAAGCTCCACGAAACAACTGCGTCGTAGCTACTCCCGGTTTATCAACGATGAGTCCCGTTCCCATGGGTCCAGGTGGTATTGGAATGGGCATGCCGTCGCCAGTGCCATCAAGTCAGTGGAGTCTGGGCCTCTGGCCTTCTGTCATCGAAGGATTTGATGAATTCAGGTGCTGCACTGGAACTACCACATACCCTGGCCGAAAATAACTATTTAACACCGACCAAGTGTAAGATTTGTGACAAAATGCTCAAGGGACTCATTCGGCAAGGTCTCAAATGCAGAGATTGCGGGGTAGGGTCTTACAATCAGCACTTCTATACATTTGGGCTCTATTGTGTTTTTTAAGGTGAATGTCCATAATAAATGTGCTTATCAACTGCCGTCCAACTGTACGCTCTCTGATCATGCAATCAGTCGCATGAGCATTACCGAGCCGCCACCAGCTCCTCAAAAAGAGAACCTCGTCAACATGGATGACGAGCCAAGTAGCAGCGAGAACATACCGTTGTTCCGATTACCTGGTGAGCAGGTTTCATCACAATATTTGGCAACTTCGAACGCCAAAACGAAGGCGTTGTCATGACACTGCCTCCGTAGGTGATAATGGGTTCATCAGTGAAGTAAAAAGCAAAATCAGCAGTCAAGATCGCCCTAAATAAGATCGTTTGTCTGCCACTGGTCTTGCGCGTCGTAGTAGCGCGTGGTGAAGAAACATAGAGTGTATGGACGAGAGTCCGCGTAGTGTACAGCAAATGAAAAACCACAGTCCTTTGCAAGGTAGTTTTGCTGTTATACAAAGCCCTCGGTTCACGCATAAGTAATACCTTGTGACCCAGCCTATGAGGTTAACGTTGAAAATTTTCGAATAGCGAATTATAGTTTTAGTGCGGCTGGCCACTATAAGAGACTGTTGCTCTACTCATTTGAGCAATGTGTCATAGCAGGGGGTGTGACTCGTTAGTTATACGTCAGGCCACGCGCCGAAACTGCCAGATTATTCCCTAGCCGGCTGACTTGGTCCACTGCAACACCGCCAGGTTAATTCAGCCAGGTACGGCTGCGTTCAAACTTTGCGGCGGCGTCCACTAGCGACTATCAGCATTCGATTTCGTCAGTGCCAGCGACTAGGAAGTATAAATATCGATCCAGCGAACGGCAGTGTCCACCAGCATCCATCAGCGTCCACCGGCTACCAGTAGTAGAGAGTATGGGGAAGTAGGTGGATTACAAGTAGGTGGAAGTACAGCTGGATTAGGAGTCATGATAGATGATCACAATATGGAGTGAAAATCATTCATTTACTTAACTGGCTTGATCCTCCTAATCATGGATGGGATATTGCGCAGTAGATGGCCCTGTACGGATCCAAGGCTTGTCTGGTAAGAACTCAATGAGGGGTTTTCTGCTCATTTAGTGATCAACCCACGTTCTACTGCCTCTTCTATGTTCAGATAGAAGCAGCAGTTTTCACCGATCTTCAGAATCTTCGCGGTCTGCATTTTGAAGTGTTAAGATTCCAGGTCAAGTGACGTCAAGAACCACTACACAGCCGAAAGTCGAAGGGTGGATGATTCACTTTTTGCTATCGGATCCTGAACGAAGACTCAAACACTACTGGATTCTTGCCAATGATGCTATCAATATGTACAACGAATACAACGAAGGCAAGCGTATCCGATTTTCCCCGCTCCACAGAGGTGGGCTGATCGAGTTATTCAGTAAATATTTGGGGGAATACATAGCTTCTGATTTTTAAATTAAGTACTTTTGAACGATGTTCTCCCCCTAAATTGCTCCCCGTTCCTTCACTCGATGCACCAGATGACGCCTAATTATTCTTTTTAGGTGTGAATCCGAACAAATGTTACATGGTGCTTCCTTTAGCCGAGATTCTGGCTATTACTCCTTACAACGGACCTTCCGTTCATTCCAAGTTCGTTTGCAAATTCGATAAGAGGCAAAGAACGAAACGATCCTCATTTTTCGATTCTCTAGACCTTGGGAAGAAATACCCTGCCAGACTTATTTCAAGATTTTCCACCCCCCTGCCCCAGTTCGGTTAGAGCAGGCTTATACGCTGATCGTTTGGACGAGGTCGGGCCCAACAGTGTGCCTCTCGAATTGATGTGACCCGCCTCTTTATTTCTCAGCTCAGGAAGGGAGGGCTGCACCGACCTAGAAGACGCGAGATCAGCGTGGATTGTGCCGTTATCTTGCAGACCTAATACTTTACGCTAATAAGTACTGCCTTATTAAGGTATCCGCCCCATTGTTTCGAAATCCGTACAATATCAAATGTTGTCTACTGTGCTGGAGAGAACCTGCACGCCTACTCCAATGGTCCACCGAAGAAAATCCCTCGAAGTCTCAGCATTCGGCCTCCATCGAATACACAACTTTGGTTCCAGGTCAGTTTGCCTTTTTCTTTCGGTGTTCTATGTACTTACACCACCACTGCTACAATTCACTGTTTTGGCAAATCAGTGACACATTCGTACTAATATTAAGACATTGATTTGAAATAAATACTCACTCCCTTACTTCGAATATTATACTCTCTGGAGAGAACCTTACATTGTTGCTATGAGATGCTGTCATATCCAGTTCAAACCTTGTCACTGCTAGTTGAACGTCGAGCGAATTCTCAAACTCCAGCAACGTTTTGCTGTTTGGTATTGGTCACCCAACTGTTGAAGAACATTAACACGACCAAGTGATCGGTGAAGTGCCTACCTGCATTTGGTGGCCGCTTCCACATTCGCAGAGAGTGTACTGCTAATGTCCCTCGGGAGGACGAGATAGATATGGACGCGAGATCTTCAACGGCCTCAAGGCAACAAGTTACACTGTTACCACCGCGCCTTTTGCTTGCACTCTCGGGACGATCTCATGTGTTTGTCACAGGAGGTGGTAGTATCGACTTATGCAAGTTCACGACTTCTGACTTCACAGAAAACCAATCAAAAACAAGTAATAAATAGCACTCCCTATTCCAGGGCAAAATGCGTTTTAGCGCAATTTCAATTCACCAATGGTTCGATTGCACCAGTGCAAAAGTAGGGTAGGACGTCGTTTCCTACCTTTTGTCCTCTGTATCCGTCTTTCTGTACGGCTTCAGCTTCACAGCGACAGCACATGCACGAGAAGAAATTCGTATTTTCGTCTCAATCCAGAGTGTCTTGTTCGTTTTCGTTCCGTTCTGCTTCACAGCTATCGTCTTGGTTTACAATTGTGCCATGTTTTCAGAGAATTCGTCGTGGATCTGTCTTTCTGAGTAAACAATCCCCCGCGGCTTTTTTAAAGGTATTGTCGCGCTAACTTAGGCACATTATCTTTCTTATCTATCGTTTTCTCCACGCACTGGTCCCCAGTTTCGTGAATTTTCTGACCCAACCTGGTCTACATGCAAAGTTAAAGTATTACTTGTTTGAAAACACAATTCCTGTTTCTAGTATTATCTCAGGCCCTGCCCTTGCAGATGCTCTGGCATACCACCTCTGTGTCCAACAGATAGACATAGCAGAATACGTGACCTGATACTACGAAACACAGAGTACCTTGGATTCTTAGCAGTCTTACCTCAGCCTACATATAAATACACACTTCTGTCCATTTCTTACAAGCCTTTATCCCTTTCAGGCGCTCAAAGAAGCCTTGCAGCCTCCAGTAAGTCGAAGTGATGCACCGAACGCTGAACGTGCACTGGAATTCGCTGAATTATATCAGGTGAGTAATCAAAGCAACTCTTGCCTTTTATAGGCAGTCTTTGAGTTAAGATGCGAGTGAGTGTGGCCGAAGAAGGACGCTTGACGTTACTAATGAATTAGTGAAATCTTCCATCACGATTCCTAATTACCGCCTATGTCCTCGGCCTCCTGGTCCTCACCGGCCACTCTTCAGCGGAAACCGTGCCCTGACCGAACGAAAACAGCTTGGCATCAAGTAATGTACCCACAGCGGCATGATAGATAACCTGTTAAACAGCTGACGGATTCCGGCAATTTATTCGGTAAACGAAGCCTGCAAAGTGAAAGTGAGATTTCGAGTACAGTACGAAGGCAAACGTTTGTGTATAACCCAACGTACTTAAGATATCGTTGGGTAAAGTACAGAATTGGTTTTATCTGTTGCCTCAGAATAATAGTACTATAAATTGAGTGAAGATTTTAAGACGAGCACAGAAAAATGAACAGATCAGAAAGTATTCTAGCGGTAGTCGACCCGCTTTTCCCCACTTGATGCGGTAGAGAACAGTTAATTGCGGCAAAGAAACGAGCTACGTGTGACAGCAAAAAACGGAGTTATGCATGCAATATAGTTTGCAAAGAACAGGTAGCAAAAAAAAACAGTTGAACGATAACGATACATCGATGACAAAAGGTTGATTAGTCTCCTCTAAGAGAAAGCACAACAAAAAGACTGGCGTTCATGGTAATGGGGAAGGGGCCCCCAAATGAAACTGAATTCAAAGAAAAAGAACTCGGCTTTACATAGGTGGTTTCCCGCGCGAGCTGCGCGCTTCGTCTGCAATAGAACAGATCATGGAAAAATGACCTACTGTACTAATCAACAAAGATATCTCTGCTCACACTTGTACTTCTCATGCCAGAAGTATGCCAGACATACAAGCCGTGGCGAAGATAGGTTACGTAATGGCGAGTGGCACGCCAACCACGCGCAAGGTCCGAGGTCAGATCCTGGTTCGGCTACCAGCCTGGCCAACCAAGTCTTCTACCTCCCTGGACCGACAAATTCTCGGCAGATTCGTCTAGGAGGATAGGAACACTGACTTGTGCATCGACCAGCCCGCGCAAGTCGTTGCATTTCATAGGCCACTAGAGTTCTGAATGAGAGTTGTATGTGTGCCGCATCCCAGAAAATGACCTTTGTCAATTTACAGGTGCTCAGCGAGAAAGTACTCGGATCAGGCCAGTTTGGTACAGTGTACAGCGCAATCCAACGACACACAGGTGTTGAAGTGGCCGTCAAGGTATCACCTTTGCCTCTTTTCAGCAGAATGCTAGGCGTGATCTATAGATTCTACAAAATTCTATGTATTCATATAAGCTATTAAAAATTCGTGTTCAGGTAATCTCGAAGGAACGCTTTTCAAAAAAGAGCAATGGAGTCGAGTCGATGCGAGCAGAGGTACTCGCTTACTTATTTGGTTCATGCTCAAAGGTCGCATTTCAAAGCTCTCACATGAAAAAAGATAATGAGGCAAAAAATTTTAGTTGTAGGCAAAGATGCAATGTAGATTAACGAAAAAGGGCAGATCATGCGGAGCGAAAAGTAGCGCGAAAAACAAAAAAAAATTAAAATGTATTCGGCGCACCACAGAAAGTTCATAAAGGTGAGCAAATAGTCAAGCAGTACTCATCGCTGCTATGATGTAATTGGAACAGGAAGGGCACTTGTAGGAGAAGCTATAGGGATTCATCGGCAATTGAAACACTGCAGCTAGAAGTAGGTCATTTTGAACCTTGTGGTATGCATAACCCGAAGCCCATAATGACTTGCGCCAGTCGGCAATGCGCAATGGCCGCAAGCGGGGTCATAGGGACTTACCCACTTAGCCCGAAGCTTCGAAACAAGTTATACCGATCACTCAGGTGGAAGCAATGAGCTGACCATAAGTGAGTACCACCACAGAGACTACCGGATGCGCGTCACGTATAGGCGGAACATTCCCCGCGTTCGACCATACAGAATGAAGATGGACTTTCTACTGAATTCGCCTCGCTTCAATGTATCTGCACTCTTTCCCGCCGCAAACGCTGGGGCGTGCCATGGGGATGGATTTGGCATGGCGCCAGCCGTTTTACTCCAACCGTTTAGGCGGGCAAGCGACAACAAGTTGTGGGAAATGGACTGGCGGTGAGCCAAACCCTGTCCCTGACACGCCCCAGCGTCTGCTCGAAAACGGCCGCAGGTAGAGGTGCAGATATGCAGGTGTAGGTATGTAGTGTGTATCATTTTACATTCTGAATGACAAGTGGGAGAGCGATAGCTTGACTCTACCATGAATCTGCTTCGTTAGCTTCGTCTGCTCGTTTGAACACTTAATTACTCTGGGCCTTGTTGTATTTTATTGTAGGTGGCGATTCTGCAACGCGTTTGTCATAGTGGAATTGTTCGATTAGAGTTTATGTGCGAGACAAAAGACAAAATCTTCGTGGTTATGGAGAAAATGAACGGCGATATGCTTGAAATGATCCTCAGCCAGGTTAGTTACAGCTTCTTCAAGCATAAAAAGAAGGGCAAGAGATCAAGTGGCAGTACCCTCATATCAGGGGACTTCCAGCTACGGCCTAAAAATCCAGCCTCCGCCCGAGTAGATGTTTAACTCTCTGAACTCTCAACTAAGCAGGTACTGAGCAGCCCACAACTCATTCCTCATCTAGTGTTCTCTGCAGTCCCAGGCGGATCTTCTTTGTTTCACATATCTTTTCGTACTCAACTGCACAAAAATGCCATGTGGTCCCATACTTCACTGTTCCATTTCTGAAACTGTAAGCATCAGGGAGGTGGGGAGGATCACGCAGTACGCTGGGATCCCAACGAGATTATGATGATTATGATTTACTATCGGTTAGTACGACAAACAGAACAATGATAATTATATGACTTAGTGACCGATAAAACTTGGATATGGAAAAAGCAGAAGATCACTAGATAAAGGGAATGTAGGTGGAAGCCTTGGCGGAGAAGAGCAGTGGCCCGCCAACACTGCAAGTCGCGATAGTCAGTCCGGCTCCGGATACCAGCTTAGTAGGTCCGTCAACGCCACCAAGGTCCACCTCTTGGGGACGGGTTCGGGCAAGGATTCGACAAATGAATATGTCGTAGGACGTAAGGCAACCGTTCATGATACAGCAAATACTAATGAGAGAACGGCTAGAGACAGCAACTCATACTATTAAGAACACATTGTTAGATAAAGGAGAACGTAACTAAGGTTAGAACATGAGTAGAGGAGATACCACACGTAGAAAGAAACGAAGAGATAGGAAGCCCAAGGACAGCTTACAAAGCAGAAGGCAAATCAACATATAGCCACCAACAGCAAACATGCAATGAACTGAAAACACACCAAAAAAAGAGTGGAACTGTCCTTGAGCTTCAATTTACTTTGGCATTCATTCAATGCCAGCCCTGCTTTTTGAGTATCCTACTAGTCTTTTCTTTGAAAGACCTAGACGATTTCGAATTAACTACCTCGGCTGGCAGACTATTCCAGAAGGGAGATAACCTCTGCGAAAAACTCTCTTTATAATACTCGAACGAGTTTTTTCTCTCAGTAACTTGAAACAGTGACCTCGCGTTACGCCCGTAGTTACAGATTTTCTAAAAGAGTTGGTCGATGTCAACATCGATTTCTCCCTTGAACAACTTGAATAAGGCGTCAAGATCCATAATTTTTCTTCGCATCTCGAGAGTTGCCGAGCCAAGAGAGGCAAGACGGTTTTCATAGGAGATGTGAAATAGGCCTGCTCTCGCGAATATTCTCTTTGTGAACCTAATTTGAACCTGTTCTATCTGTTCCACTAAACACCTAGTTGAAGGCGACCAAACTGGCGCACAGTACTCTAAAATGGGCCTAACGTAAGCCGTGAAAAGCGTGAACAGTGTTTTTATGCTTCTGCTGGAGAAGGCTCGAAGTATGAAGTTGCACCGCGACTTGGCCATATTAACAGTGTTCTTTATATAGTCTTCAAAGGACAGAGCATTATTATACTTGACGCCAAGGTCCCTAATAATAGGTGGCTCGGCTATTTGAATCCCATCAATAAGGAAGTGGATGTCATTAGAACACGGCCCTAGTTTCATTGCATAGGTTTTTTCGGGTGATATTTCCAACCCCCAAGTGACAGACCACTGATGCAGCGCTTCAAGTGAAACCTGCAATAAGCGCGGATCACCAATCGAAAACAACTTGACATCATCTGCATACATTGTGCAATCTACTAGTGCAGGCAAGAAGTTTGGAAGATCGTTAATGTACATGAGGAACATGAGAGGTCCCAAACACGTACCCTGGGGCACTCCGCTCAGTGTCTCGTAAGGCTCAGATAAACAGTCATTAATCATAACGGCTTGCTCTCTCCCAGATAGAAACGATACAAGAAATTTAAGTAAGTGAACCGGAGATGCCAAAGGTCTTCAGCTTAGAAAACAAAAGATTGAGCGGGATTGAATCAAACGCTTTCTTGAAATCAATAAATGCCAGAAAGACACATTGCTTCCTATCGAGCGCTTTTTGCCATAAAGGAATAGTAGACATGAGAGCGCTGAACAGGATTTCCTGGGAAGGAAATCCGTGCTGGCAAGAAGAAATGAGCTGGTTCTTGAATAAGATATTCTTTGATGCGGGAGCACACGATCCTTTCCATTACCTTACTAACACAGGATGTCAGACAAATTGGTCTATAATTCCTAATTTCGTTTTTTGAACCTTTTTTATGTATGGGCTTGACCCAGCCCATACGCCAAATCTTAGGAACATCGCCTTTCAAAAGGAATTCTATTAAATAAGATGGTCAGAGGAAGAGTCAGCCCCATGGCAGCTTGCGAAGGAAAATGTAGGGTAGCATATCGGGCGAAGTGGACGAACGCAGTGGCAAGCTTTTTAATGCACGGTACACGTCTTCACAACTAATATCAATCCAGTCAAGGTAGGCCTTGTGGCAAGAAGACTGCATAACAGGCTCTACGGAACCTGTTACTGTAGAAGGTTTTGAAATAGTCTGCGAAAAGCCTAGCTTTTTCTGTATCGAGGGTACAGTTCTCACCACTTCGACCTGTAACACTGCCTATTCTTGAGGATTCCTTCAGCCTGGTGGTGCAATACTTCCAAAATCTTTTAGGATTTCTTGATGAAGCTATTCTTGTTTCATATCTTATTTTGAGTTTTTCCAATTTACTTTTGAGTGTTTTAACCGCCTTCGAATATTCTGGATCATGAACCCCCTGCCCGTTCTTGTACAAGCGTGCCACACGGGTTTTAAAAAGGATATCTGTCGAGGCTCTTTCCTAGACATCATTTTTTTCGTAGAGAAAGGTACAAATTTTTCTATTAGCTCATAACAGAATTTGGAAAGAGCATCATAGCACTGGCTCGAAGTTTCAAAAGAATCGAACACATTCCGCGAGAGCGGTCGTAATCAATTACTGTTTCCTCTCAATGGTCCTGCCATTTGCCCCCTACCCTCCCTTCCTCACACACTCTCGTCAGATTTTTTTTTTGCGGGGGGAATGGAGAAATGTTCAGAGTAAATTGCGTAAAAGAGGTAGGGAGTTCAAAAATTCAGGAAGATATAAGTAATTTGGGGAACGAAGAAGGTAGGGGTCGTACCAGAAATGAAGATTTCGAGGGGTGGGGCTCTGCAAATTTTTTCCAACGGCTGGACGTTAGCACCAGCACCCATACACGACAAAGTATAGTTTGTTTTTTTCAACGACTTAATAATTTCTTTATAGGCCGCAGGCCGCCTCGATGAGCGAGCGACTCGATTCCTACTTGTGCAGATCCTCTCTGCCCTTAAATACCTCCACAATCAGGGAATCGCTCATTGCGACCTCAAACCAGAGAACGTTCTTCTGTCCGAGACGAACACGAATTTCCCCCAGACGAAAATATGCGATTTCGGTTATGCCAGGTATATTATAGCATTCACTCCATTCACGTCGCATTTTCAGATGAGCTCCTTGTCAACATTTTCAGATTCATTCCGGAGTCGCAGTTTCGTAAGACGATCGTCGGTACACCTGCCTATCTACCGCCTGAAGTTCTGCTTAGGCAAGGTAAGAGACTCTCTCAGAGCGATGTATCGCTTTTGACCTATTGCTTTTGCTGCAGGTTACAACAAATCTTTGGATATGTGGTCGGTGGGCGTTATCATTTATGTTACACTTTCTGGAACATTCCCGTTCAATGAAGGAGAGGAGGTAAGGTTATCTGTGATAGGGGGCAAGTAACAAGCTTAAAACAAACTATACACTCATGCTCGGGGCGAATGAGTTCGCAGCTGCAGTAGCGTGCCATTTTGTCCACTCCCAACTCACGGGAACCAGGCCCGAGACTCCATACTCCGTCCTCCAGGCTGTGGGGTAGCTGCACTCGAGACTCTATACACCTTTGCGTCAACGTCAAGGTCCCGTCCAGCAAAAAACACATACTCACTGGTTGAGAACAACTAGAAGTGAGAGAGTGCAGACAAGTGGTGCGTTTTTCTATAGCTTGGCGCCAAGGCACGCCATGTGTTGTGATCGTTTCCCGAGCAATAGGATCCCCCCCTGATTCCATCCTCAAATACGACCCCCTCCCCTCCCCATGCTACCTACCACTTTCCTAGATTTTCCCAACTTCCTACCACTTTTTCCATTTTTTCCCAGGAAATTTCCAGTCTTCCAATCAAGAATTTTCCGTCGAGCGTGGAGCGGAAAGGGGAGGAGCGGGAAAGTCAAGATTTGACTATCATTTTCAACTATCGGGAATAGTAGTTGTAAGGTTTGTGGCAGTCCCTCTAACAAGTATGACCAAATACGACCCCCCTCCCTCACGGTCAAATACACCCTCCTCCGTTGTGATCATCACAACGATGACGTACCATGCTTGGCGCCGTGTAGCAGAGCGTGACGAGGACGGAGTCGGTAACAAGGCATCGCTACCCTGTAGTCCCGTGCACTTTCGACTGAAGAAAGTGACACGCTACCGCAGGCTACGGACCCATTTTTACCACATACGGTAAGGACTAGGATCCACAGAGGTGAGGAACAGTTTGTCCTCAAACAGACCCTGGAGTGGTCACAAAGACACATTCATGACGAGCAAATGGCGGGTACTTGTAGACTTCCAGCGTCCTCATTGACGCGCTCTACCTTAATATTACTAAAGATCGAAGAAGGAACCGATGAGAAAGGCACAGTGGTCAGGAGTCTCCGCCCATACCATTATCACGGAAGGTGTCGTTACCACGTGCCATTTCTCAATTACGGATTCGTGTGACTGTTTGAGCTGGCGGACCTTTGAGTCATCACATGTTTATTCGAAAGTTTCCTCTCGAGAGTCTATTTTACAGATAGCTGATCAGATTCAAAACGCCGCATTCATGTTCCCAGCTGAACCATGGGCAGAGGTCTCACCTGCCGCCATAGACTTGATTCAACGACTACTACGGGTAAAGGTATGTTTGTTTGGGTCAACTCTTCTGATAGATATGTTAAAGCTAGATGTTAATTCGCAGAAAGACCGTGCAAGATTCTTAGACTGGATGCGCTCTACAGTGACGTAGCGCCGTCCGCTGTAGATTAGTGGGATAAGGAAATCATCAGTTCACAAGAAAGAGTGCACAAACTTCAAGCGTAGTAAAGGTAGTTCGGTTGGTGCTATTACCGGGCGGATTATTATTGGGGTAGGGAGGAGACTGGGATGAGCAGAAGAACACCTTCCGTTTGTTCGAAGCCCTTCTTATTGGCTGACGGCCTATGAACCCTACTGGTACGCACAACCTACCCGGACTCCCATCTCAGATAACCCTCCAAACATGAAATAAGTATAGTACCGAAAACGCCTCTCAGAAGCGCGCCTGGCCAGTGGAGATTTGGAGGCGCTTTCGGAGGCCCTTCCATAGCTATGCGCCAACGTCACTGGCGCATGAGCTATGGAAGGGCCTCCACTACCTCAAAAATCCCTAGTCCCTAGTTTGAGTAAGTGCTTCGATTATAGGGAAATCCCTAGGCCAAGGATTTCCCTATGATCGGAGCACTTACTCGAATCCTCTATCACATTTTTCTCTCCTTCAAACAAAATAGAACTGATTGTTAAGATCGAGGAGCGTCTCACCATTGAGCAATGCTTGGCTCATGAATGGCTGAAAGGAGAGCAACTGTATCGTGACCTACGAAGTTTGGAATTACGACTGAAATGTCCACGGTATGTTGCAATGTTGCCGAAAACAATACGTCAAGCTGAACAAACGAACGAACACCTTCCATTTGCCTTGAGACATGCACAAACTTCAAGAATTCTAAAAACCCAGTGTACAGTCCACGAGGATCAATTGGGCGGGGACAGAGAACCATTGTTTCAGTGGTACGCTCTCCAATGCAGGAAGGCAAAGGCGAGGATCCTTGTTGGAAGGGCTTTTTCACTAAACAACTATTGCGTTTTCGAAGGAATATTGCATTTGCCATTTGGTGACGTCTTCCTGCTTTTTACAGAACAAAACATGATTAGAGGTTCCGGT